CTGTCGAGAAGAAATGCCAGTCATTGCTCAGTTGCTTCGCTTGCTAATTCAGCATGGGCAGCTCAGAAGCCACATGGTAACAAATGAACTTCTGGTGCAACAGATTATCAAGGATATGATGGTATGAAACTTTTTTTTTTCCCCAGGGGACTTCAAAGATATTGTATTTTAATGGAAGCCAACCTTTTTGACAGGCGTACCACAAATTAGCCTCACACTGTCTGAGTGCCACTCTGATCCTTTTCCTTTACCTGGTCTGCTGCTCTGCTTTCTGCTTCCTGCCCTGTCTGCTGCTGCACTGCTTGTCCTGTCCTCAATCTGACACATTCCACAAACATAGGATGCTTGTGGCACCTGTGCTATTGGCTGGCTACTCGTTACAATGTAGTAGAAAGTATAAACTTAAATATCTGTATGCAAGACTAATTTGGACCACATGCAAAAGAGTCATCTAGAAAGTGGCCTGTAGAGCAAAGTTGCAATCCAGAGTTGCCTCCTTTGTACCTTGAATAGCAGCCCACATAGTAGGGATTTGTGTTTCTGAACGTGTACCACTTGTCAGTGATGACCTGCCTCCCCGGCTGCTGCTGAAATGAGGGAAAGCCACTGTGTCTCTAACTGTTAATGACAGGAGGGCAGCTACTGTTACTATACAATAGTTTCTTTGTAGGTAGCACAGCTCTGGCTCTCTCACTTATGGGGGCCGTCTTGGGGCAGTCTTGTCCTTATGCTGCAGCCATGGTGAACATCAGCCAAACAAGGGGTTTGTTGTGTCCCAAGATCTACTGAATGACAGTGCTTTAGAGGTCACTTATTTCTGTTACAGTCAATGGCTTCCTATACAAGGGACTGCACTTGATGTGCACAGAACAGGGCCAGTCCACAAGCTGAGAATGAAACAGTAGATTTGCTAAACTCTTTTATTTAGTTATTGGTTTAAAAAAAAAAAAAAAAAGGAACCTGATCATTTCAGTGACTTTCTTTTCCTGAGTTACAGAACAACATCAAATCAGGACATATCTTCCCAAATTATTATTGTGCTTAGTCAGTGGTCCAGTACATATAACTCGCATCTCTGCATAAGCAGCTGTTGAGAGAGGGCAGTTTCTGTGGTGTCAGGTTTCCTTCTGGCTAATTCTGGAATGGTATACACCTTGCTGATCCTGTCCCTAAAATATTGCTGGTTATAATGGATGCACTACCTGCCATTGCTACTATCCAGAGTGGCTACTGACAGGATTTGTGTGTGGTGTGACCACATCCCTTCTGCTGCTGTAGGTGTTATAGGAAGTAGATGGTCTCAAATACCTTACTAGGTTTGAGCAGAGTAAGTTAAAATCATAAGGTTAAAAGTGATCTCAGGAGTCATCTAGTCCAACCCCCTGCACAGATGGAGAATGAATTGATCCTAAACTCTCTCTGATAAATGGCCATTGAGCCTGTCCTTGAGAAGTAAGAGCCTCTCAAGCAAGATTCAGCTGCTTCTCTAGACAGTTTGTTTCATTGTCCTGTCTTTCCCATATAGTAAGAAGCGTTTCTTGAGTTCCGATTACAATTTTCGTTGCTGCAGTTTAAATCTACAACATTGAGTCCTGCTGTGTGTGGCAAAGAGCTGTTATCCCTCTTTATGACAAACTTCGGAATACTTGAAAACGGTTACCATATTCTCCTCTCCTGCAATTTACACCTCTCCAGGCTAAACGTACCCATGTCTTTCAATCTTTCCTTTTGCAACTTGCCTTCTAGCCCTTTTATCATAGTTTCATAGTAGGTAGGGTTGGAAGGGACCTGAGCAGATCATCTAGTCCGACCCCCTGCCATGGGCAGGAAAGAGGGCAGGGGTCAAATGAG